AAGGGCACACCCCACAGGACGAAGCTGGGGGTGTGTGGCGAGCCATCGTGACAGTGGGAGAGCGCCCCAAGTTGCGGCCCCGTGGGCGGGGTCGAGCAAGAAAGCCCAGATCGGCCAGGACAGGGGCTGGGGACGGGTTCAGGCAGAGCTGCAGGCCCGAGGGAGGAGGGAGGAGGGAGGGGACAGGACGTGGTCTGAGGAGGGCAGCAGGAACGATGTTCACAGGGCTGCGGGGTCCTGTCCTCCCGGCGCTCAGCTCCGCCTCCCGTCTGCCCGAGGCCCGCCCTCTCTCCTGGGTTTCCGGGGGCTGCCCTTCCTGCTCTGTGCTTCGGTGAACTGGTGGACGGTTTCTCCGCGGCCCCCGGGCGTCTGCGTTCACGGTGTTCCCCCTTTTCTTCTCCTCTCCTGCTGTCTTCCGCCGCCTCCTCTTTCCTTCTCTCCTGGTGTCGGCTCTCCCTGGTGGTGGTGCTGGTCCAGCCGAGGTGGCGGGTGCCACAGCTGTCCCCGCGCTACCCGAGAGTGGCCAGTCGGGGCCTGAGCCAGCCGAAGCAGAAGGCGGAGCCGAGGCTGCGGGTAATGAACTTCGCGGAGCCAGAGCCAGGCTGGGGCTGGAGCGTGGGGCCTGCGGGGGCAGAGCCGGGCTCCGGGAGCGGACCCCCTGCCGCAGGGCACCCCTGCCCCTGTGTCCTCCCTCCCCCATCAGGCCTGGGCCTCTGGGACTGGGCTCGGCGAGCCGGTGCCGGATATGGTGGGGAGCGCACGCAGCCTGGTGCCCGGAGCCCCGCGTCCTTGGCCTGACATCCTGAGCCACACTGCAGTGTCGCTGTGGAAAGAGGCTCACGTGGCCTCCCAGGCCCCTTGGTGTCTCCCCTCCTCCCCGCTCCAGTGGTGTCTGAGTCCCTCCTGGAGCTGAGGGGTCTCTAGGACCCTGCAGATGGGCGCAGGGGCTGTGTCAGAGTTCATCTAGAGCTTGCGATGGGGAGATGTGACGGGACATGTGACGGGAGATGTGACGGAGCCTCCCTCCGCTCCTTTTCCCAAGTGCCTGAGGCTGGCCCTGCCTCCTCACCCCCCTGCAGGGACGGGGAGGCCTTCCCTAACCTCCGCTGCTGGGCACCCTCCCTCGGCGTGGGCCAAACTTGGCCAAAGTGCCACCTAGAAGGCTTTCTGGAGGAGGGGGCCTTTACAGGGCTGGTGGGCAGCGTGAGGCCGCCTACGCCGCGCTCACCCACGGGACGGCAGCCCTGGCCCCTGGCCGCGCCAGTCCACGTGGGGAGCGAGCACCCAGGGCGACGGGGTTGGGCTCTGCGTCCTCTGGACCAGCATCCTAACCTCCCCGTCTCGCCGTGGGGACAGGGAACTGTTTTTACGTCAGCATGCCAGCGGGACCCCCAGACTCAAGCACCGACCCCTCGGGGGCACCCACAAGCCCCGCCCAGCCCCACAGCCTCCCTGACTGGCAGACGGAGCCTCGGCCCCGGTGCCAGGGCAGCCGCAGGCGCCCCAGCCGTTCCCCGCCCGGCCTGGCCTTCAGGGACGCGAGCAGCATCTTCCATACCATCGAGCAGCTCACCATCAAGCTCCACAGGCTCAAGGTGAGGACAGGTCCCCAGACCCGTCGCCCCCAGGGCCCTGACGCAAGGGACCCGGGTTACACATCGCCCTGCTGTCTTCCAGGACATGGAGCACGCCCACAGAGAGCTGCTCAGGTCCCTCGGGGGAGACTCGTCTGGTGGCACCACACCCGTGGGCAGTTTCCACGCAGAGGCGGCCAGATGGACAGACAGCTCCCTGTCCCCTCCGGCCAAGGAGCCCCTGGCCTCAGACTCCAGGGACAGGCACCAGCCAGGGCCGTGCTCTGAGGACGGTGAGTGTGGCCCTGCCCTCTGGGTACCCACGCAGGGGAGGGGGAGGAGGGCTCTGTGAAGGGGTCTCATCACCCCCACCCGAGCACGAGTAATTCACACCCTCAGCTTCAGAAAGGGATCTTTCCAGGGAACCCTTACAGAAGCTCCCCTAAAAGTGGAAAACTTAGTATCGAACTCCATTTCCTTGGATCAGAGAGAGGATGGATCTCCCCCCTAGAACCACACGGGGTGGGGGTGGCGTGGGGGTGGGGCCAGCGCGTAGCCACCCACGGGCTTGGGAGCAGCAGCGGCCACTCCCAGGCTCCGGGAGAAACTCCGCTTTCGTCGCAAAAGGCTCCAGAGGACGCGCTCTCTTGAGCTCGGGTGCCGTGCAGGTGAACCCTAACAGGGAGGGTCACCCCAGAGGCCGGCCGCTCACTGCCCTCCCCGTCACCCCCCCCCACCACAGGCTCCGACACACCCCTGGAAGAGTGCACGGCCCACGCAGCCTCGTGCCCAGGACTCTAACTGTCCAAACACCACATCCTCCGCGTCCCTACTCCCCCCGGGGACTGGCCCGAGGCAGGGGCACAGGGCAGCGGGACCCCAGACCTCCACCCCGCAGTAGAGGCGGTCTAGCCGAGACCCCACAGGAGACCCGCATGTCCCTTGGTCCGCTCGGGTCCGGGTCACATTTCAGTGTGTTCCCGCCTCCCCAGCCCCGTCCACGGCCTGGCGCCCTGAGCATGCCGGCTGCACCCAAACGGCCCCCCAGACACGCAGGTGGCAGGAGGAGGCTCTGTGTACGTGCACTTTCTTCCTCCCCTCCCCTCTTCGCGGGACCCCGGGGCTGGGGTGGGGTGCCCGCACCCCTGCCCTCCTTGTCACTTTGGTTTCCTATAAATATGTATGTACCATACGTGCATCTTGCTTTGTAAATAACCGAGCGGTTTCTGTCGTCGGGGTGCCGGAGGCAGTCACAGAGGGCAGCTTGTGTCCTAACAGCCCAGCCCCGGGAGGGTCAGAGCTGAGCACGCCGGTCCCCAGCGGGCAGGAAGGTGTCCCAGCCCACCTGGCCTGAGAGCCCCGCCTCTGCGGCCCAGGCCAGAGCTGCTCCCTCCTGTGGTTCTCTTCAGGGGGATTCCGGACCCCACCTCTGTCCGCCCGTCCCCACCCTGTCCCTGTAGAAAACCAGTGTATCAGGTACGGCCCTGAAAACTGGGCCCCAGGAGGTGGGGTGGGGGTTTGAATGCTGGAGTCCCTGAACCTAACCCAGGACCGTCCCCAGGGGCCCCACAGCATTGGCCCCTGTTGCCGGGCCAACCCCCCACCCTAATAAAATATACACACTGTGCTAGGTGTATATATACATATATATATAAATATATATATAATATATAAAATATAGAGATGGAAATGACTGTTTTCCTGTTAAAATAATGTATACTCTTTCTTTCTTTCATGGTTAAGATTTTTTTTTTTTAAGAAAAGTT